TTTTTTGAGACGGAGTTTCGCTCCTGTTGCCCAGGCTGGAGTGCAATGGCATGATCTCGGCTCACCACAACCTCCGCCCCCTGGGTTCAAGCAATTCTCCTGCCTCAACCTCCCAAGTAGCTGGGATTACAGGCATGTGTAACCATGCCTAATTTTTGTATTTTTAGTACAGATGGGGTTTCCCCACATTGGTCAGGCTGGTCTTGAACTCCCAACCTCAGGTGATCTGCCCACCTCAGCCTCCCAAAGTGCTGGGATTACAGGCGTTAGTCACTGTGCCCGGCCTTTTTTTTTTTTTTTTTTTTTTTTTTTTTAAGGAGTCTTGTTCTGTCACCCAGGCAGGCTGGAGTAAAGTGGCACAATCTTGGCTCACTCTGCTTCCCCGGTTCAAGCGATTCTCCTGCCTCAGCCACCCAAGTAGGTGGGACTACAGATGCATGCCACCAGGCCCGGCTAATTTTCATATTTTTAGTAGAAACGGGGTTTCACCATGTTGGCCAGGTTGGTCTAGAATGCCTGACCTTAAGTGATCCACCCACCTCCACCTCCCAAAGTGCTGGGTTTATAGGCGTCCCACTGTACCTAGCCTCTCTTCTTACCTCTCTTTAAGAGTCCCAAGAGCAGTGGTACAGGAGGAAAGGGAGGGCTGGCCCATCAATGGAGCTGCTGCCTTGCTGTCCCCCTCCCTCTGTGCCTACTGCTGCTCTGCTTGCCCAGGCTGACAGTGCACAAACCCCCCATGAACCTGGCATCCTTCTCTGCTAGCCATCCAGTCATGACCCGTCACTCTGGACAAGAGCTTCTACTCCACTCCCAGATTGGTGATAGAGCCAATCTGTCCTGTGTGGATCTTGGCTTCCTCTTTTGTTAAGAGAGGGGCGTGATCAAAAATGAGCTAATATCCCTTTCAACTCTAACAACCTGTGATTCCGTATTATTCTCCCTCAATATCCAATCTATTAATACAACGGGCTTGCCCAGTCTGGGCCTTTGGTCCATGCTTTTCTGCTGTGGTGGATACGTTTCCCCATCTCAGGCATTTTATGCAGGTCAGATCATCACTCGCAGCCTCGTTCATATCCCGAAGCCTTTCTTCATTGCCCTGGATCACTCGCTGCCTCCTTGCCCCATACGATCCACTGATGAACCACTCTCAGCATAGAGTCCTCCTGGGATTGTAGTCTGGATGCACATGTTGTGTGAACCTCGACAGACTATAAACAACTTCAGGGCAGGAATTGTGATTTATATTGGAGAAGCAACAGGGCTGAGATGGAGAGGAGGAAAGATAGGTGCAGCTGCATCACTCATACTGGGTTAGCGAATTCCCTCTGGTTCAAAATCAGGCTCTGATTCGAAATCAGGCTCTGACTCCCTGGCCCTACTGGCCACCAAAACTTGAAAGATACATCCAGATACAACCAAAGTCATCCTCAGGGCTGAATGACCAGGGGCTGCTGACTTGAGTGATTTGGGCCCCAGGTGTCTCAAAAGTATGGTTCACTACCCACTGAAAATGCTGTTTACTTCTGTACCCAGGGAAATTCATTGACCACCAACCATTCACAAATACTGAACAAGGCACTAGAAGGGCTCCCAGCAAGTGCCCTTGGAAAGATTTCGAAGAGAAAGAACAAGCCATGGTTGACTCTTACCTCATGCCAGGCAAGCATATCTCACTTAGTGCCTCTCCAGAAGTTGGGTGCTGGTCTGAAGGGGCAAGTGTCAGCTCAGAGAAAAACATCAACTCTTTTTGTTTATGACTGAGCCTAGGCATCAGAGAAAGAACAAAATTCCATTTGTGAAGAAATTTGCCATAGCCATAGGAAGACAGGAAAGGACAATCCCTAATCCCCTTGAGAGATCAGGTAATGGAGGTGCCTAGTCCGCAGTCCTCAAGTCCAGGTGCCTCTGATATACAGGTTCCCCATCAGGGAAGCTTACTGTTGGAGTCTTTATCAAGGGTAACACCTGAGAGGCCATGCACAGTGGCTCACACCTGTAATGCCAGCACTGTGGGAGGCCAAGGCAGGAAGATTGCTTGAGCCCAGGAGTTCTAGACCAGCCTGGGCAAAATAGCAATATGCCATTTCTAAAAATAAAATTAGCCAGGCAAAGGCCAGGCATAGTGGCTCACACCGTAATTCCAGCACTGTGAGAAGCTGAGTCAAGTGGATCACTTGAGGTCAGGAGTTCGAGACCAGTCTGTCTAACATGGTGAAACCTTAAAAAATTCAAAAATTAGTAATCCCAATTACTCAGGAGGCTAAGGCAGGAGAATCACTTGAACCCAAGAGGCGGAAGTTACAGTGAGCTGAGACAGCACCACTGCACTCTAGCCTAAGGGACAGAAGGAGACTGTCTCAAAAAACAAAAAAGAAATAGCCACACATAGTGGTACACACCTGAAGTCCCAGTTGCCAGGAGGCTGAGGCAGGAGGATCACATGAACCCAAGAGTTCAAGGCTGCAGTGAGCTATGGTCATGCCACCACACTCCAGTATGGGCAACAGAGCAAGGCCCTGCCTCAGGAAAAAAAAAAAATTTTCCTCTAGATATGGGGGTAAAAAATAAAAATTAAAAAAGAGTAAGACCTGAGACCCAAAATTTCACCATGTGCCTGAGCCTGGAGTCCTTGCCACAACTTATTTTCTCCTTTTCTCAGCGATCTTCCAATTAGCTCTGAAGAAAATTCCCTGATGGGATCAGCACTAGCTCCCCAAGTCTTCTAATAACTAAAGGAAGCTATTTTACTTAATATCAATTCTAGTCATAGTCCCAGAGACCTACATTAACAAAGCACATTCACTAATATGGCTAAAGAAAAAACTAGCAGGAAAGCAGCCCAGTGGGAGAAAGCAGTATACTAGCAAAAATTAAATCTCTCATTCTGAAGGTACAAATTAGTATTTTCCAGTCTCTTGTTGATTCGTTCAGCTATTTATTGAGCACTTACTATGTGCCAGGATATGAAAAGCCCTGAGAGCACAAAGATGAATGGGGCATGGGAGTGACCTTGAGGAATTTATAGGGCAGTCAAGGAAGCAGAGAAGTAACTTGAAAAATGAAAGTATAAGACATCACTTCTGTGTCCAGGGTCAATGTGAGCAAAGTACTGGAGGATCTCAGAGGATGAAGTCCCTGGGTATTAGAAAAGTCAGGATGGAGAAAGTGACATTTCCGGTGAGTCTTAAAGGATAAGGTCATACTATAGAGGTTTGGGATGCGGGTGGGGAAGGACATTGCAGGCAGACAGAACAGTGTGCCTGAGGATTCTAGATGAGAAAAATTTAAACTTGTCAGGTAATACAATGCAGGCACTCAAAGACACCAAACCAAAGAAGCTTGGCCTCCAGACTTATCTCAAATCTCATCTCAGCTGGCTCCAGGCTCCATTTTGGACAGCTTATTTCAGTGGAATGAAGTAAACAGGATACCAGGGCAGAATGCCCTCAAAGGGCCTGTGAAATTGCCTAGACTGAGGCTTCCCTCATGCTCAAAAACCTGGTAGCTGTTGAACTAAGGGAAAGACAATGGACTCTAAATACTAGTCCTTCATAGATTTTGACTGTGGACAGCACAGCCTCCTCCGTTAATATAAAATGTATGGAACAGGTGTGATGGTTCATGCCTGTAATCCCTGCATTTTGGGAGGCGAAGGCCAGTGGATCATTTGAAGTCAGGAGTTCGAGAACAGCCTGGCTATCACGGTGAAACCCCGTCTCCACTAAAAATACAAAAATTACCTGAGCGTGGTGGTACACGCCTGTAATCCCAGCCACTCAGGAGGTGAGGCAGGAGAATCACCTGAACACAGGAGGTAGAGGTTGCAGTGAGATGAAAGCTGAGATCGCACCACTGTACACCAGTTTGGGCGACAGAGCGAGACTCTGTCTCAACAAAAAAAAAAAAGCATTAAATGTGTAAGCTTACATTTAAAAACTCATTCATGTAAAGTGTTATCAGGACTGAGATTCCCCCTGTGAGATATGGAAGTAGACCATGGCAATGGATGAATTTATACTGAACCAGAGATGCTCTCCTTGCTAAATAAAGTCAAGGGATGGACAGGGCTTTTCTTCTTAGGAGGGTCATTTCCTCCAGGTGTCCTTTGCTTTTATGAGCTCCCTGCAGTGTGAGTTTGTCAGCACCTTCAATATTTAGGTTATTTAGGAGATCTGGGTCCCAGGAAAAACAGTCTGTCACTACTCAAACTCTCATAAATCTGACTTGTAATAAGAGTCCATTTCATAAATTTCACTGTGAAATAGCTCTGCTAATAGGAAAGTAGGTTTCTGAGAAATTAGGAGGCGGTCATTTGGCACTGAAGATTGGACCACATGGAAAAGAACCCCTTCTTCCTTAGCCCCTGCCAGCAACTCAGCACCCTCAATTTCTCAGTAACACTTCTTCAGGATTCCACGTTACCCTCTACTGGGAGACAGCACAGACATCAGAAAGGGCCTGGGCCTTCTGGTCCACATAAACATGTCTGATTCCAGATTCTGCCATGACTGGCTCTGGGCCTTGGCCAATTCATCCCATCTTGCCAAGTCTCTACTTACTCATCTGCAAAACAGATATGCTTCAGATTGTTGTGTGATTTAAATAAGGTAAGGGAAATGTTAGTAGTCTCCCTCATAGCAGGCACTTGATAAAGGACAGTCATTTTTCCTTTTGTTTACAGCAACACTTGTGACTAAGAAACACCAGATTTAAATCCAGAAGGCCTCTACCTGATTTCTAATTCTGCTACTTAACATTCTTGGTAGAGATAAGTGTTTTAGCACCTACCTTGTTTCAGATACTATGCTCGCTTTTATGTACTTAGGGGGTTTTTTGCTCCAAAAACCATCCATCCGAGGTCACCAGACTGCCTGAGGGAGAAGAGGGTTGAGGTGAGAGGGGAGGGAGTAAAGTGACCCATTCATCAGGATTCTATTTCCAATCCCCAAAACTATTTCCCCAGTTTTTCCAGAGGTGATAGTTGGAACACAATGTAACAACAGCTAGTACGCAGTCCTCTTTTATTGTGTTATACAGAGATTCCAGGAGCGAGTGAAAATGGCATCATCTCTTGCCAGAAGGCCACCAGCTAGCACTGGCTGGGAGTCGCATTACCACTTTCTTCTCCTCCGGACTGAAGTGCAAGATAGTCAATATGGCTGTGAGAGTCTGCTGGCGGCCCAGGGAGTCAGGTAAGGTCAAGAAGCGGTAGATGATGTTTTTGAGGTACTCCAGGTTGGCTCCCTCCCTGCTCTGGTCCCTGATGTTCTTTTCGATGTGGCTCTGCAGGGCTGCAACCTCCTCGCGATGCCGTTCGCCCTCCTCCAGCAGCCGATCCTGCAGCTGATGCACCTCGACCTCCAGCTTGTGCTTCTGCTTCCTCAGCGATGTGATCTCCACTTCCTTGCGGGCTAGCTGCTCAGCGTACAGAAAGAAAGTGGGCTCATTGGCCGCTGCAAGTTGTAATGCTTGGGTCAGGCTATCTGAGGATGATGTGTCAGCCACATCCCCAGGACCCCCACCGCCCACAGGACTCCTGCGTCCTGGCAGCCCAGAGGCCAAGGCCACAGAACGCAGTTGTTCCAGTTCCAAGTCCTTCTCAGCGAGCACAGCCAGGGCACGATCCCGCTGCTTGTGCAGCTCCTCCTCCAGTTTCAGTGTGCGATCCCTGAAGTCCAGCTGGCACCGCTCCAGCTCCTGCCGGTGGAGCTGCTGTAGCTGGGCCAGCTCCTGCTTCCAGTCCTCAGCCTCCTGCTGGTGTTGGTGCTCAAGCTCCTCGCAGGACAACCGCAGGGAGACATACTTCTCCTTTAGCTCTGCAAGCTGTTCCTGGGCTGCCTCCAGCTCCTTCCCCAGATTACCATCTTTGGTATTCTTACTTTTTAGGACCACCTGGGCCCTCATCTTGTACCTCTCAAACTCTTCCTTCAGTTGTTTCAGCTCCTGTTGGTAATAGAGTGCAGTAGCCTTCTCCCCATCAGCAGTCTCCGAGCTGGTCATTATCTCCAGGTCACAGAGCTTCTCCACATCCAGGGTCACCTGGCTTTTCCTGGCTGCAACCTGCAGCAGTCTCTTCAGCTTCTCCATTTTATCCTTCAGGACATTGACATCCAGACTAGACTCCTCTCCATGGCTGTCTAGAGGGGACCTGCTGGAGGCTGCTAGAGCCAGTGTCTTGTTCTCCAGGTCCAGCTGCAGAATACGCTCCTTCAGCTTCTGGATGGCCAGCTGGTCCTTCTGCTTGGCTTTCTCGTACGTGCCCAGCAGCTCCGACACCTCAGATATTTGATTCTCCAGGGCTGCCACCCTCTGTTCTTCCACCTGAGATTGCTGACGGAGTTGATCCTCTGCAAGAGCTGTCTGCAAAATAAGGGAAGAGAAATAATGCATCCACAAAAGCCCCACAGCAAACTTTGAGAAAGCAGGACAGGGGAGCAAAAGGGTCACAGGATTGGAATGGCCTGACAAGAATGGGAAATAGGGATTTTTCGGTTGATTCAGGAGCTAACAAAAGTTCCTATGACCTGCCTGGGTTCTGCAAGACATATTATACTAAAAAATATTAAGCACCTTGGCATATCTGCCATTCCATTCTGCTTTCCACCTAACTCACATATAATGTGTGTCACTGTTGTTTTTCAGGTGCTTCCTCAAATCTTAAGAAATCATACAAGATTTTTCCTTATCTAATATTCCTAGTAGTTCAAAACTGAGCTGGAGCTCCCTCACCACATTGGAAGGAAGCCCCCTTTCTCCACCAGAAAGGAGGCCTATTCTGGAAAATAGCATTTCTCCAGAATAGGCAAATCTTAAGTAAAGGCAATGACAAGAGGTTACTTCTGAGAAAATCCCCCTTTGCCTTCAGCCACCCTCCCTAGCGGCACATACCAACAGAAAATACACTACCTTTTACTGTACAGCTGCCACTATACTGCTTCATAGAACACAGCTGGTAAGATGCCAATGCCCAGAAGGGCAGGGCTGACTGGCTCCAACCCAGCCTACACTGAGAAGCTCCACATCCTCCTGGAAGCTTCTACGTCAACACCACATAAAACAGCACTTCCCGGGACTCACCAGTGGAACTTTTCAGGTAGCATCAAAAATGACAGTACAAACACTTAGCTCTCACTAGCAAAGGAGGAAAAAAACCCTAGTATTTCCCACTTCAGATCAATGACTATGTTTGAAAGAGAGGTGGATAATTACCTTTTTCATTTCCTGCTGTAACTGGGCCTGGAAATGGCCCTTAAGGCGGGCGGCCTCTTCCTGAAGTTCTTGCAGCCGGGGGTCTGGCTGATTCTTCTCATCTCGAATGGCCTGCAGTTCACTTTTCAGCTCCTCCACCTCACGGGTCAGCTGCTTGGTCTGAAGTTCAAATCCTTCCATCTGTTCAGCTGCATATGATCGTCCTGCCAGGGCTTCTCGGGTCTCTTCTAACCTAAGCTCCAAGTCCTGGCGCTGGGTCCTCTCCTCCTGCAGCAGCTTCTGGAGCTCACGCAGCATCAAGGCATGGTCACTCTGCTCTTGGGCCCGATCATGCTGCTGCGTGATAAGCCGGGCTTTGGTTTCTGCTATTTGCTCCTGCAGCCCCTTCAATTCTCCCTCCAGGCGAGCCCTCTCCTCCTCTGCCTTGTTATTGGCATCCTCTAAGTCCTGTTTCATCTTTTTCTTGTCAGCCAGGTAAGAAGCCTCCATGCGGGACTTCTCCTGAGTGACTGTGGCCAAAGAACTGGTCAAAGTAGCCAACTGAGTCTTCAGCTGGTGCAGTCTTTTGTCCACCTCCCCACCCGCAAATGGCCCATCCCCACTGCTACTGCTAACACCACTCTCTGACCCACTGGCCTCTTCGGACTTCGGAGGTGGTGGTCCACGGGCTGGTCTGTCATCTTCTATCCCAAACTCGCCCTTGGTGCTGGTGAGACTGGCTGCCGTATCCACGCTAGTGGCGGTCCCAGTGCTATCCTCACTGTGAGTGGAGCACCGGTCATCCACAAAGTCCGGAAAGGCGACGCCTGGAAGCTGGACACCTGCGAGGCCCACATCTGCCTCGTGGGATACCGACAGCACCTTGATGCTGGCCTCTAGCGCCTCTTTCTCCTTCAGCAGGCTTTTATAGGCACGGACCACATCCTTGAGCCGTGCCTGGTACTGGAAAAGCTGCTTTTTCTGCGTCTCTATAGTCTCCAGCAAGTCTTTCTTGCTCGGGCCGCCACCGAAATTCATAGCAAACTTCTCCATGAAGGTTCTGAACGGACTGCTCCACTTCAGCTTTCCAGTAGCCCAAGAGAGGGCTGCGAAGAGGCAGGCAAGGGCTTCAAGAAACAGCCAGCGGGCTGTCCGGCGGCGGGCCGCACACCTGCTGCACCCAGTTATCCCGGACCTAATGCGGATAGGCGGAACCTACAGACAAAAGTGCCCGCCTGGTCCCAAGCCCGGAGGGTGGGGGCGGGTACTACCCTGGAGGCGGGGCGACGCTGGCACCAGAGGCGCGCTCGGCCAGGGCTCGTCCGCGCTGGCCCAGAAGCCGCTCCACACTCTCCGCTCTGTCCAGGCCACAGGAGCCCGGGCCGGCCCCGCTCGGCCCACGTCGGTCAGGTGCTCACGCAGAGCGGCGTCCCATCACGATTTCCTAACTACAACTGCCTGCCCACTACCGCGCTTCCGTGTCCGCTGGAAGTGACGTCAGCTAGGCGCCGCAAGCCCCGCCCCCAGTGGGCGCGAGTTAGGCGGAGCCCAGTCCGCCAGTGGGTGGGCGCGGCCTGTTGAAAACGCAGTAGGGTAGCGAGCGGCCAACAGGTTTGGGAAAGGAGAAACAAGCAAAGCCGAAAACATCAGAGTGGTCTGGGTTTTGTGAGAGCGCCTAAGCTTGACCTCGGGCTACGATCAGCGAGCGACAGAGGGCAACGTCGCACAGCGTTCTTAACAAACACCTAGGTGAACGACGCATCCAAGGATTTGGGGGCTCAGGTCCCATATCCCTAAAAGGCAACAATTAAAGACTTGCATATAGACCGCGAAAACTGGAGTACTCTAGCACAAGGCTTGGCACCTAGTAGGTATACAGCGTAATAGTCAGTACGCTTCCTTAGTTCTGCTGAGTTGATTCAACAAATATTTATGGAGGGCACTCTATAGCCGTGTCTATCCTGAGTGCCAGCTATGTACAAGGAGCGCACAAGAGTTTTGCTATTTCGTCTTCACGATAATTATTATAAGCACTATTTTCATTAGCACTATTTTACAAATAGGGGAACATGAGGCAAAAAGTTATACGTAACATGCCCAAGACCACAGAGCTAAGAAGTTTAGTTCTATCTGAATCAGTCTGATTCTCAACGTATTATGTGTTGTACCAGACGATAACACCATTAAGAGATACGACCTTGCTTTCAGGGAACTCACAATCTAGTGAGGAACTAGACATGCAAACATGTCCTGCTATAACACCGGTATGTATTGGTATATTCAAAGTGGTAGGAAAGTTAAGAGAGGAAAGAGGCCTGGCTCAATGAAGAATGGAAGGCTCTTGGGAATAATACTTTGGGATTTGAAGTATGAGTCCTGATTGTCCACCTAACCAGAGATCAGGGAAACCAGCATTCCAGGCAGGTGGGAAAAAAATGCAAAGACCTGTAGGGTATCAGAGTTTGACTCACCCAGAATGCATTCAAAAGTTTAGGGTATGTGAAGGAGGGGACAACAGAGGGGCTGGCATGAGAGGCAGGGACCCAACTTATGGCATTTAAATTTTATCTTGGGTGATAGTAAGGCCCTAATGGATTTTAATCTGAAAAGTGGAATGTCATCAAGGTTTGTATGACATGGTGGAGGGAACAAGGGGCAGGAGACCTGTGAAGAGACTCAGTCATGGGGAAGAGAAGGTAGTGACAACAGAGATGGAGACAAAAGAGGCTGATAAAAGAGCTAAACGTAGACTTGACCTAACTTGGTGACCACTAGTTGTTATTATGTTGGGACTCTCTAAAATGTACTCTTCAGCCTTGGAAAAGCCTTCTTACGGATGCACGTCTATGACTGAAGAGAAGAGGAAAGTCATGCGCTCACTCATTCCTGTTTCCCAAAGTCTGTGCTTGTTACAGACTTTGCAGGTAGGGATGGGGCAGGCCCTGGCGGTCTGTTCAGACCCCGTTTGTCGGTGGCCTAAATAACATCTAGCTGTATGATACATAACATTCACTCACATTTTCTCATCATTTTAATATTTACCATAACCCCTTAAGTTAGAACAAGTCTCCTTTTATAGATGATGAAATAACAGAAGAGTTATGAGGAGTGTTGAAGCCAAATCCTCAAGAAATGGCAGCATTAAGATTTGAACTAAAGCCTGAAACAGTACTGGCACATGGTGGGTGCTCAGTAAATATTTGCTAAAAAAAGTAAATGAATGAGTGAAGGTGTTTTTTAATTCCCAGCTCAGTTTACCTCGAGTCTATAAACAACTGATCCTAGAAGCCCAGGGGGAATCCAGAGTAGGCACCTGCGCTTGCTCCACTGGAATCTATTAGTCCAGTTCAACTGAACAAGCATTTGTTAGGCCTATATTAAATGCCTGGCATTGAGCCAGTCTCTCACAGAAGAATTTCGTTCCTATTTTGCTATTCTCCCCTCAGATGCTAAAATGAGGCAGGGAAACTACATGTGAAGCTCTTTGGGTGTAGGGAATCAAGATCCTCACAAAATCCTGAACGGATGTACAAGAATAAGCCAGGTCCACAAGTCTGTGGCAAAGTAGCCTGCGCCTGGGCTGAAAGGCGGGCCCGCAGGGCCATCCAGGCTAAGGTGGATTTCTCCAACAGCCCAGGAGTGGGTCTGCGACCACGACACCACGATTCCCAATTCTGCTGATTGGGAATCTATGAAGTAGGCGTTTTAAGGACCCACGGAAGCCAGCTAGCACTCGGGCACCTTCCTCTACCTCCGGCGCACTCCTCACAAGACCACCTACTACGCGCAAGACCCTCAGTGGAAGATGAGGGGGTAAAGGGAGAACTAAGACCCCTAAGCGCGGCTTCCGCTCCCCAAAGAAGAGTGGTGCACACGTTCAGTGCTGCTGGTCCCCAAGAACTAAAACCGGAGCCGCTAGGGGCCTGGACCCAACAAACCAAAGTCCAGCGGCCGGCCACTGAAGATAGGGGCAGGGGCCGCTGCGGAGCGATGAAGCTTTTTCCTCAACCGCGCTCCGGCTGCCGCTTCGGCGGCCACAGGCCTGGCAGGCGCGCTAGAGACCCAGTCCCTTTCCCAAGTAAGCGCTGCGCGGGACCCAGGCCAGCCGCGGCGACTCGCAGTTTCGGATTCCTGCGGAGCCAGAGCCGGGGGGCGGGGCCGAGGGGCGGGGGCGGGGCCCGGGCGGGGGCGGGCCCACGGTGACGTCGGGCGGGCAGCGACGCGCGGAGGCGGCGGCGGAGCCTCCTCCTGCTGCTGCTGCGCCCCATCCCCCCGCGGCCGGCCAGTTCCAGCCCGCACCCCGCGTCGGTGCCCGCGCCCCCTCCCTGGGCCCCGCCATGGGCCTCACCGTGTCCGCGCTCTTTTCGCGGATCTTCGGAAAGAAGCAGATGCGGATTCTCATGGGTGAGGCAGATCAAGCGCGCGGCCCGGAGCGGGGCGCCGGCCCCGGCGCAGCCCTTCCGCCCCCGCGTCCCTCCAGCCCCGCTCACCTGGGTCTCTGGCCCCGGGTCACCCACCTCCTAACGCCCCGGGGCCTCTGCTTTCGAGTGGGTCCCGGTCTGCAGCCCCGACCCCAGGGCCTGACACCCGGAGCTGCGGGCCTGGGTGGGGTGAAGCTCCCTCCTCCCCAGCCCCGCTGGTAAGGGAGGATTCCGCCCTTGGAGACGACTTTTAAAAGGAGCTCGGCCTTCCTCCCGTGCCCCTTGCTTCCCAGCCCTCTCCCACTCTGCTCGCTCTTTGGAGTTGGCTCACGCCACCCGACTGCCCTCCAGGCCCTGAAGGTAGATAAAGACGCGCACCTGGAGGCACTCCCGCTCTCCGCCCCCGTCACCATCAGCTGTTGTGGCCTCTCCCTTTCCCTGGTCTCTAGGGGGCTCCCTCGCTCCCATCTCCATCCCTGTGCCCCTCTCCGTTGCAGTTGGCTTGGATGCGGCTGGCAAGACCACAATCCTGTACAAACTGAAGTTGGGGGAGATTGTCACCACCATCCCAACCATAGGTGAGCCCGGGGACGAAGCAGGGAGCGGGAGCGCCTCGGCGGGCCCTCTCGAGGTCTGCTCCCAGTTCTGCCACTTTTCTGGAGCTGACCCTGATATCAGATACAGCTATTTGAGAAGTGGGTCAGGGTATCTCTGCGTGGATACTGGAGGCGGGGTGGATGTGACCTAGCCCCGCCTTGTTGACCGCCAGTTCTGGGGTTCCCTTCCCCTGGGCCTTGATCATTGCCTTCTGGTTTGGTGTCCCTGCTGAGATCCAAGTAGTTTTAGTGAGTTCCTTTCCTTCAGGAGTTTTTCTCATATATATATTTTTTCCAATTATCTGCAGGCTTCAATGTAGAAACAGTGGAATATAAGAACATTTGTTTCACAGTCTGGGACGTGGGAGGCCAGGACAAGATTCGACCTCTGTGGCGGCACTACTTCCAGAACACTCAGGTGGAGTGTTGGGAGGGGACTCCCTAACCCCAGGAGAAACGGTGTTAGGGCTGGGAGAACAGAGTTGTTGGCCTAGGCTGGGCCCCCAGACCAAGGAAAAAACCCTTCCCCCCTTCAGCCCCTCTCTTTGGTTAACCTCTGCTCGTCTGCTCACCCTTCAGAACTTGCCTTAGTCTTCCTCACCTTGGACTTCTCATTAGAAGCGGGATTCTGGGACCCGGCTGCCTGATTTAGCCCTCACCACATATCTTTATTTTCTTGCACATCTTTAGATAAACTACTTCCTCCTCAGGGACAAAGGCTGTGTCCTTTGCAGTGGGGTGTCTAGTTTGTGCCAGGACTCCTGTAGAGCTTCTGTGGAGTTCCTTAAACTTCTGTAGAGTTTACTAGTTGAGAAGGATTGACAAAATTACAGATGGGAAGAAAAGAGAAAGGGCCACTCCACCGTGTGTCCCAGGCAGGAGTGATTGCTTCTCCGTCCTTCCTTCCTTCCTGCCCAGGGCCTCATCTTTGTGGTGGACAGTAATGACCGGGAGCGGGTCCAAGAATCTGCCGATGAACTCCAGAAGATGGTGAGTACCCAGAGCCCTGGGAACTGAGCCCTCAGCTTGGGGATAGAGTGATCTCTGTAGTTGTATAGAAGTCAGGGAGCCGCCCCCCACCCAAGCATTGAAGATCAGGAATATGAGTGAGTTTCTCTTTGTGGACAGACACATTGTGTACCTCACCATGTTTTGGATGGGACTAACTTTTTCTGTGCATTCTCATGTCTTTATTTATTTATTTATTTGTTTGTTTATTTTTTGAGACGGAGTTTTGCTCTTGTTGCCCAGGTCTGAGTGCAGTGGCACAATCTCAGCTCACTGCAACCTCCGCCCCAGGTTCAGGCGATTCTCCTGCCTCAGCCTCCCAAGTAGCTGGGATAACAGGCCCCTGCCAACATGCTTAGATAATTTTCGTATTTTTAGCAGAGACGGGGTTTCACCATGTTGGCCAGGCTGATCTTAAACTCCCGACCTCAGGTGATTCTGGCCTCCCAAAGTGCAGGGATTACAGGCATGAGCCACCACTCCCGGCCACATTCTCAATGTCTTTACATCGGAGTTTGAGAAGTTGTGGGGGAGTTGGGACTTAAATGTGGTAAAGAGAAACGTCTTATATTCTTGCCTTTTCTATTTGGAAATGTCATTTTGCTTAGGCAAGTACTCAAATTAGGAAAAGGTCTTTCTTTTCAGGACTTACGTACCAGGTGACCTCAAACTCATTTACAACTATGCCTTGTTTTCAGTGGCAGATTACACAATACTTTTTTCCAATAAAGATGCTAGGAGATAGAAAGGGAATTCCCCAACACAGTAGGGAATAGGAAGCCTGGGTCCCACCTTCTCTTCTCCCCTCTCAGCTGCAGGAGGATGAGCTGCGGGATGCGGTGTTGCTGGTGTTTGCCAATAAGCAGGACATGCCAAACGCCATGCCTGTGAGCGAGCTGACTGACAAGCTGGGGCTACAGCACTTGCGCAGCCGCACAGTAAGGGTCCTGCCCACCTGGTCTGAATCCTGCCTCTTTAGGGAAGCCACAGGCTGGGGAAGAATATAAAAACATCTCTTCTGTTCCTAGTTGCTGACCTCTTTCTTTTTTTCTCCCCACAGTGGTATGTCCAGGCCACCTGTGCCACCCAAGGCACAGGTCTGTACGATGGTCTGGACTGGCTGTCCCATGAGCTGTCAAAGCGCTAACCAGCCAGGGGCAGGCCCCTGATGCCCGGAAGCTCCTGCGTGCATCCCCGGGATGACCAGACTCCCGGACTCCTCAGGCAGTGCCCTTTCCTCCCACTCTTCCTCCCCCACAGCCACAGGCCTCTGCTCCTGCTCCTGCCTGCATGTTCTCTCTGTTGTTGGAGCCTGGAGCCTTGCTCCTGGGCACAGAGGGGTCCACTCTCCTGCCTGCTGGGACCTATGGAAGGGGCTTCCTGGCCAAGGCCCCCTCTTCCAGAGGAGGAGCAGGGATCTGGGTTTCCTTTTTTTTCTGTTTTGGGTATACCCTTGGGGCCAGGTTTGGGGGGGAAGGTGAGGGCTCCGGGTGGTGCTATAATGTGGCACTAGATATTGAGTAATAAATTTGCTGTGGTTTGTACCTGGTGTTGTCTATAGCCTGCAAACGGGAGGTTGGGTTACTGGGTACAAAAAGACAATGTGGGAGAGGATCAAAGCAGCTAAGGCTGCAGGGCGACCCCACCCACACACACCCTCGTGCAGCTCAGCTTCTCCTTCCTTATTCTTGGGATGGAAATACTGTGTGATTTTCAGTGGTGAAAATCTCACGCTTCCCTAGCTACAAGGAGCCTTTGCTGAAGATTACAGGATCTACCCTCATAGTTCCATGAACCACATAACTCTGCTTCCCATCATTCTCATAGCTACTTAGAGCAGTTCTTAATGTTTGCCTTCCACATTAAAATTTGAGGGGGAAAGAATGTATGTTAATACGAATCCCAAGATATATTTCAGAAAATGTGATTCGTCAAGACTAGTCTTATGCCCAACAATATGCACCTTTAAAATTACCCAGAGGATTCTGCTACTAATAGTCTATTACTGATATTTTACAAAACATGGGTGGGGTCTGGGGCTTATAGTTACTTGCTGCACACCACTGAGACTCTTGCTACTTGGGAAGACCCCACCTATGGGGAATAGGAAAGCAGGTGTAAGGAACCAGGGGTGGCTGGGCACCGTGGCTCATGCCTGTAATCCTAGCACTTTGGGAGGCTGAGGCAGGAGGAGTTCAAAACCAGCCTGGGCAACATGGCAAGACCCCATCTGTACAAAAAATAAATTAGCCGGGCATGGTGGGTGGGCCCAGCAGCTCAGGAGGCTGAGGTGGGAGGTTCACTTGAGTTTGGGAAATCAAGACTGCAGTCAACTGAGATGCACTCCAACCTGGCTAGCAGAGCAAGACCCTGTCTCAAAAACAGGAACCAGGGGTGGCCTATTCTCCAAGCGTGATTGACAGCCCATTTGCCCTTGGATCCTAGCCATGCTTAGGCAGAACTCATCATCACTTCTTTTTTCCTTTCTGTTTCTTTCATGTCATATTTTCCAAGTTCTGAGCTGGGTTTTCTCCTCAAGCTTTGCAGGAAGCGAGTCCCAGAGATTATCACTCAGAGACTCTTTGGAGGGAAAGGATATCCTTGCAGGCGCTCTGACTGCTCAGCCAGCTGTGCTACCCACCAGCAGTGCAGCTGGGGTTGAGGAGGGGTGCTTGGTGCTCTCTCTACCTAGGCCCTTCTTACCCAGGTCCTGAGCCAGCCTTCCTGATGAATATGAATAATTTGATGTCTGCTGATTAGGGTTTCCTCATACTCCCTGCAAAGAAGCATCTGGAACATTTTGGCCTCATCCTCCTAAGGTCCATAAAAGCTCATAAATTTTTCTTAGATATCTTGAACTTAATAAAATACTTCAGCTGCAAGGGAGCCAGGCAGAACCCACTTCCTTGGGAGGAAGGAGATTGATTTCTATCCTGTTACCAGAATGAGAAACAGAGGTAAAGAAAGGAAGGGACTTGCCTAAATTCACAGGTTGAAGTTCCAGATCCTGGTCTCAGCTCAGCCTAACTTGGTGCCCGGAGGGGAATAGGAAAGCAAACACCATAGGCTCTGGACGGGTCTTTTCTAGGCCATGGATTAATGC